AGCCGTTTAATGAAAAATCTGCAAAGAAATCTTTTTAAGACGCACAAAAGAATGTTCGCAGGAAATGGCTGAGAATAGTGTCTACTTTTACGCGGATATTCATCGTCAGGTTTTCGCGCACAAAGCGGGCAAAAATCGGACGCAAAGAATTGAAGCCAGGTCGAATCAGTAATAAATATTCCAGACGCGTGAAAGAATAATCATATTCGCGCGAGAGAGGAGGGGGGGGGGAAGGGGTGACTTTGAGTTTATGCGAAATAAATGAGAAAAGTTGCGCGCCAAGTTTTCGTAAAATTTCTTTTTATCAGAAAATTTTCGTAGTTCTACAAGCTTTCTCAATAAAGCACTTTGAGCTTTAAAGAAAATAAAAGGAATAGCATTGTTCTGCCTAATTCTCTGTTCGCGAGAGAGATTTTTAATCCCATCGTATAAAGGTACGTATTAATTTAGCCACAGATATAAAAATCGCATTTTTTTTCTCTTGACATCGCGACTCAAAGAGGGAAGAAATTAGTCGCATTCGTTCTCGCGGGCAATTCTATTTTCGCGCCGACTTTGCCAACGATGGAAATTGGAAATTCCCGCGACCGGAACGCAAATAATTAACGACCAGCGTGCGGAAATTGCACGGCCAGGATGTTGAGCGCGTATCATCGAGAAACGATTGTTTCTGTACGCGTATGATGAGTGTCTATTACTCATCGGCGAGCAAATGCCGGCGCGTTTTAATGCGGAAGCGGTTTGTAAACTTCGCATATGACATCGCAAAACCGCGAATTTATTCTTGGTTAATATTTGGACTTCAGAGTTTTCCCGCAGGAACCTCTCACGCATAATCCTTTTACGCAGCCGCGGTTTGGTTTCGGTTTTATCGATTGCGTAATTCTCGCGCAGCTGTTGACATAATCGAATAATTTGTTAATCTCAGGCGAGCTCAGCGCTGGTTCACGCGCAAACGGAATAAATTTTCTTCTACCTCTCGTAGCGCAGAAATAAAAATTAGAAATGAAATCGGTGATGATGTAAAATTAATTTATAATTATTGATGCTTTTTTGGATAGTACTTAAATTATTTAGCGCTGTTAGGTCTGATTTATAAATTATTAATTATTATTATACGCGTTAAATGAAAAAAATATGAAAAATATACCGATGCAAATTTTTATTTTTATATTAAAAATTATGTATTAATTAAAATATTTATATAATATATATATTATATATTATATTAATTTGTAATAATTAATATTAACAATAAATATAAAGTTAGAAAAAAAATGCGCGAAAACATCCAGCAATACAGCATTAAAAATTTTGAGATTATATTATTTAAATTATACTTCAAGCAGAACAGAATAACAAAGTTCTTGTAATTTCTGGTTTTCTACCAATGCAGTTTTTTTTTCTATCATATTATCGTACTAACTGTCTTCAAAGGATTTTTATAGGAATACAAAGAATTTATTCCGGAAACGTTGTGACCTTTTCGAATTGGATTCATCTTTTCACATGATTTCTTCTGCTTAAAATCATTTGAATAACGCATTCCTAAAGCTGATAGATTCCTCGTGAGACTTCTTGTACGTGCGCGGATATAACGCCGAAACAAGATCTCTTTGAGACTTGCAAGATGTTCGAGAAATCGAACGTTGAGAGAACATGTCACGATATAGTTGTGAGAGTGAGAGAAAGAGAGAGAGAGAGAGAAGGAATATAAGCGGATAAAATCGTACCTTGAGAGATGCCATGTCGGACACGGATCGATGCGTCTGAATGGTCTCCAACTGGTCTAAGCACCAGTCTAGCTCTTCTATCGTTTCTACAGCTAGCTTCATGAAGGGCTCCTCTGAAAAATCCAGAAAAGCGAATTTAATGCTATAAAATTGCTCGCACTGACAAGCAATAAGTCAACGTTAAAAAACTTTATCCGCTGAGATCCATTTCAAATCAAATTTCGCTGGGACGGAAAAAGCGTCCTTTGATTATTTATTTTCGCATTTTTAAAATTAATAAATTAATAAAAAGTTCTTTAAAAGTTCTTTAAAAGTCTTTACGTAAAGTATTTTAAGCACTGTTTTTGTGAGTAGAGCATTTTGAAAAATCTCAATGGAGAAATAAAGAACAAAATTCACGAAAAAGTGGAATATAAATTCTACGATCGTAATAATTGAGTAAAAATAAATTGATAGAATTGATAAAAAATTAAATTTTTATAAATAAACCGTTTATAGAATTTATTGTTATAAGTATAAAAGCTACAACGTGACTTAAAAAACAGAAGGTATAAATTCTTCGTCACAAAAACTAGATAAAAGCTTTAAAAATAAAAAAGACTTGACGTCATAAAAACTAGATAAAAGCTTTAAAAATTAAAAAGACATGACGTTGTAACTTGATACAACATTGATGAGAAAATAAACCCTCGGGAGAAATTGTAGAATCCTGAATCTGATAGTACATGATGAAAACCCCGAGGAAGAAGTCAGATGTAATAGTAATCAATGTTTAAAATGTACATTCGAAAACGCATGTATGGCGCTGTCTGCGCTGAATAAAAACGGTAGGAATAAAAACAAATAGACATTTTCCGGGGAAATTATTCGGTCGTTAACATAATAATCGCCATTAAATCTCACTTAGAGAGAGAGAGAAAGAAAGAACAATTTTCCGTGAATTATTGGCAACGAGAAAAAGTAATTAATTGCTGCTAGTGCATTAAATGACGCTAATTGGATAAAATCGCTAATGATTTGATGCAGAGTTCCGTGCGAATTGATAAATCTATCTAAAGCGGAAATATCTGAAAACGCAGCATTTATGATGCTATAATGCATTGTAACGTAGTGTTATCCATTACCTCCTGGTGCCAGAATCCGTGGCTGAGGCGTACTACTGCCCTGTTGGCCACTACTCCTTCGCGATCTGTAAAAGGCAAAAGAAAATTTAATTAAATCTCAAGTCAATTGCATATTGTTCGAATAATGATGAATGTTGATCTACTCACTTGTTCGTCGGTACATTTGTGAGCGATAAGAAATTATTCCTGACCGAGCGCAGAGAAGCCAGAATCTGTGCGAAGGGTGTAACGATGAGGTCTTCGCCATGGCTGCAAGTGAAAGAAAAGACACAATTAATCGTCGACGTTCCTCCGATCCTCCGGTTATCGGAAGGACAAGGTTTCTCACGACTTTATTAGTGAATCTTTTTGCCGAAACGTCAATGCTACTTCGCTGCGTGTAAGTTGCATGCAAGCGTGATAGCTTGATTGAAACATTACAAACGCAAGTCCCATTCCATCTCCTCTGCTCATACACACACATACGTTAAATATGTACACAGGCACCACACATTTTCGCACAATTTCGAGGCAATTCATCAGAAATCTACGAGAATTGTCAGATCGTGAGTCACAAAAGAAGAAGAAGAAGATCAAAGGATACTTTTGCAAATTCACGTGTAAAGCTCTAATTCAATAAATGTTTATTCTTCCTTCACGATGAAAAATGATACGTCGTTTCGCGCAAGATTGCATCGTAGCTTATAACATTCAAATAAACTTTGAGATAAAAGAGATTACACGCGTAGATAGTACGCAGAAGTATTTCTTTATTTGCCGAGGAAAGGAGAGAAAAACATATTGCGCAGCTTCTCGCACGCACTCGCAAAGCTTCAATATCATAAACGCGTTCCATATTATCCTTGTGGCACGCGAAATAAATATTCGATCGGCGACTGACGAGAGATTACGTCCAAATTCAACATTCTTCGAGGAAGCTGCAGTATCCCAGTTTCCACGCTCCCATTTCATTTATTGTTGCTCGCGCGATCGTATGTAGAACAACCCACTATTTATCGTATCGTCTCTATTTCAGGAATGTACAAGTGAATATATGTCCAAATTGGGACTCGTAACGTCGCATCGAGTCCACCACCATGCGTCATGTCGACTTATCGCGCGTCGAATTTTACCCTTTCCCGTTTCCTACGAGAGAGAGAGAGAGAGAGAGAGAGAGAGAGGGAGAGAGAGCATTCGATACCACCAAAATATTCCGCCCATTTCTCTCTTGGTCGTTTGCCATTTATCCCGAGGTTAAGCGATGTGTTTTCGATTCCCCCTGCGCATATCAGACGATACTGCCTGTTACTTTGTACGTTCTATTTTTCTGTGTCACCACAAGGATTGATAGCGCGCGTGTCTGTTAATACGATGCTATAGATTAGTGGATGTGATTAGTGGATATAAAGGACATCCCGTGCAAATTTATTTGTTATTTGTTTTATATTATTACAATATTGTGCGGACACGTAGGTAAATTTGCATACATAATAAGCGAGATTACGGAGGATTTTGCGTCAGACAGGTCTTCTGCGAAAGGCCGTATAAAGTCCTCGTAGACAGATAATTTATAATATCTCTCTCAGTACGAGAAGAAAATGGATAAATATCCACAATTATCTGTTATATGTGGAACAGAGCGCAAACGTGAGATATTACGTTTTCGATAAGAAAGACGCAAGCTGATACATGCCGAGCTTCAAAATGTCTAATAATAAGTTCCGTTGCTTCATCTGTTTCAATTAATTTTACTTTTTGATAAAAAATATTCTTCGAAAGTCACCGCATGCGTCACAATCGATCATTATCGGGGAAAAAGAGCCAGGAGTAATATCGCGCCAAATTCAGTTCGCGTATTTCTTTCTCGTTTCCGCAACTTTCCGCAAATAAAAGGAATGTATCGCTGACAAAATTGTACACACCAAGAGAAATGTACAATGTAATCAGCATGAAATCATTATTCATCCCCTTTTTCTTCCATCCGACGAAAGAAAATTACGTTTCTCTCTCGAGAAGAATATTGTGGAAGTTGAATAATTTCGGCAGTTATCCATTCCCCCTTCTAACGAAATTACCGCGAATGACTCTTATAAAAAGAATCTTCAAGAACGGCATAAATACGCCCATCAAATAATTAGCAATCAACGGCGTTTGTTTGATAACATAAAAATAGTAAATAAATTGCACTGTTGATCTAAAAAACAAAACACAAACAACGCGAATAACTTTTATTATATCGCGTAGCCTGATTGCCAGTTTTAATTCGCTTATGTTAAAATTGGATAATCGCATAAAGATTGATAACACAATATTGCTCGTTTCATCCTATTAATATCTCACTCTTGCAAAATTGTCAAAAGATTAAATATATTAAAGTCCGGTTAAAGGTAAAAGTCAGTGTCAAAAAATAAATAATTAATTACCGCGCAATTATTATAAACGCCTCCTCAACCATAAGTATTTCTGAATATAATACATCAAAGCGTTCTACGCTTCTGAATATCGCACCGATCGCAACGCATGCAGAGAAAGGTCTTTATCTAAAATTGGACGTCACAAATGGCAGTCAAGAGGATTCACATAATATACGCAAGCTTATTATTTAATATGACAATAATCAGTGATGTAGAAAATATACCCTCCCACTGCTCTGGCGATAATAATGGCACTAATACGCCAAGTCGAGATGTGCGCAATTCCAGAATGTAGGAGTAAAGAGACGCATGAACGAGTAATCCTAATCAACGACACACTTCATACAAAATACGCAACAACATATTATCAAAGAATGTAAAAGCGGGTAGTATGCTAATAGAAATACGCGTCCATACTGTATGCATGCATGTCAAATTAATTAATTTAATAAAAAATTATATATTTAGACAAATTTTATATCATCTTTATAGAATAAAAATCTTTGAAGAGTGACTTATTCATGGTTAAACATCTTTTATCTTTTAATCCTTCATAATTTGTAATATTTTTTTGCAAAAACTATCTCATGATAATATTTTATCATAATATTTCATCATCATAATTCCCAGATTTTTTTATTGCGACATTATAAATAGTATATTAACATGTTCTGCGTCGGAAGATACAATAATGTATTTTAATTAGTCTCGTCTCACGTGGAGCTACACAGGGGATATATATGTATATGCGTATATTATAGAGTTGGAGCTCTTTTATAAATATTACTGAAAGGTCAGAAGTTACGGGAAATGCCATCGATGGGAAATCATTTCTATTAAATCAGAATTCACATCAATGGCGCCGATGGAAAATCATCTCTTCTATTAAATTAGAATTTGCATCATTATTAATTATTCAAAAATACTTTTATATTACAGTCACACGCGGACAACATTGCAAATATTAATAAAAGTTATAAATAAACATCACAATTTTTTCATGCAATTTTAATTAATAACTCAAATAAATTACGTAAATTAACAAGAATTTTTTAAATTTATTTTTGTCTCGTTGAAATTTTTGTTATTCTCAATGAACTTTTAGAAATAAAAACAAGCGTCCTCGCGGACGCGAATAGATGGTATAAATTTTTTTTCTGCAAAATGTAGAAAATAAGTTTTCGCCATGGTGATTTAATTGTATTTTGCGCTTTTGTTTAGTTCGCTATAAAGGTGAAACGAGGAAAAACACTCATTATTTCCCCTTGCGCAATAACAGGATATTGCGATGTGAAATGAGTCTTATGTCGGTCACTTGAAGGTGGAAACGCAACACCTTCTGGAAATTCGTTTTACCATTGCCATAATATCTCTATTGCGCGTAAAAAGATTAGGGCGAGGAAGAATTCTATTGTCCTTCACACACGTTACGTGTTGCTTAGCACTGTCCGAACAAACTCGTTCTATCGAATCTGGACAGGATAAAAAGGCTACGTGAGGCAAGTGCGAAATGGGCTTCCCAAAATATGTTTTATACGTTCTTTTACGTTTCTTTTATATTCCCTACTATTTAAAGAAAACGTGTAATCTCGTGCACACTCGAATGGCGATTCATAAATGCGATGATTCAAAAACAAAATTAAATTTTATATATCCGCCATATGTCGATGATGTGTCGCGATATAAAAATACCCAGCATGATGAGTCAGAAAATAAATAACTTCCACGTGGATTTACTCAAGTGAATTCCGAGTAAATTCTTAACAATGCTACTAGCGAAAGGCCATCCCGATATTTTTTTAAAGCCCTCATCGTGCTTTTCATCTAAGTAAACACGAAAACCACTCCAGCACTCGATACCGCGCCGCGAATGGAGTCATTGAAAGAATTGTCGAGCGGAAAAATATATGAGAACGACGTTTCTCTTGAATTCTCGTGGGAGCAAGTGACTTTTCATCCCGTCGCGGGTCAGACACGAGCGGCAATAAATTGCAACCAAAGGATGACCGCGCGATTACGACTGCGAGGGAAGTCGAAATTCGGAATTTAGTTTCGCGGACCGTAAACTGCTAATCCGGCGAGGAAGGAATTCGAAGGCACGTCCAAGAAAACAGGTCGGCGCCATGTAAACGGCAACAGCAATATTTGTCTTTTTCTCTTCGTTTTTATTGCTCTCTGTTCCGTATACGCATACGACGGGCAATAAAGCTTGATTGAAGTGCCATGCTTCCGATACGATTGCCGAGCACGATGACGATGCTGCTTTTCGAAAGAAAAATCTTTTCGGATTTTATGTAAACGTCATTGTTTGCCTTGCGAGTTTTTCTCCAAGCAGCAAAAGCCTTCTGTATTCACATCCGCCTTCTTATTGATTATCTTCTCCTTTATTGAGCTCGTATCCGGTTATACGCCTTCGTATTTTCAACTTTCGAGGGAAGAAAAGAGATAACGCAAAAATAGACTGAACATCTAAAACCGTATGCTTCCTTTGAACTTTCATTATTCAGCTTTTTGTGATTCTATTATACATTATATCATTGAATAATTGAGTTCTTGAATTAAATTGCACTGTAACAAATTTGGAATATTTTGTTATGAAAAATCGATTCGTTAACTATTATTGAATCAATATTTCCTTGATAAAAATTTTGCGGAAAACTATCACTTCTTATATTTTTGTTGCACAAATTTAATACAGATCTTTCTAGTATAAAGAACGTAAAACTTTTTTGAAAAAATATTTTATATAACTTACTATAGTTTTGTTGTATTGTTCAATAATTTACTTCTCGATTTAAACTACATTGTAATGAATTGAAATGTTTCATTATGAATAATTAGTTGAAACTCTTTGTT